TAGCCCTGGCCAGAGGGGGTGCAGGGGGTTCTATTTTTCATGATAAAGCAAAAAATTATTACAGGCAAAATGAGATACAGTAATTTGAGTAATAACATGATGATAATTACAGCAATTACAATTCAAATACAGTAGTAAAGCAAGACTTTGCAGTAGTGAAGCAAGTTGATGGGCGGGCGGCACACATGACCAACACAACTCGGCACCAGAGCTGGCAGAGCACCCCCCTCCCCCCCCTTACCAGATCATGCTGGATCCATCCCTGTGTTGTAAAATGTATTTTCTTCATAGTCAGGCATTCACATGAATGAAGATTAGAATTTCATCATGTTATATAGTCTTAAATATTTAGGAGGCGTCTCCAATATTAAATTAAAAGATTAAAAAGGGGTCCCGTGACATTTTGACATAAGAATCTCCCACCCCACCCTAGGGTATAATGAATGGTCACTTAAAGTACATGTCTAACTGGAAATGGTGATGGAAAATATATTCCCTACCTTTATCCCCTGGGACAAAAATTCAAATCAACTCTCCACCCTGATAATGTGCAGTGGTAACAGCAAGAATTGAAGCAAGCAAGCTTTACTGGAGTACATACTATTATTAGGAAGCATCAATTCGCACATGCTAATTTGCCAGTCATAATTTTAAACGGAATATTTCTTATCTCCTATAGAATTCTTAAGGTCTTGTTTACATTTTACTGGAAGCAAACTAAGATGCATATCCAATATTTGGGTCATATCACTCATGTCAGTTTTGCAGTTTGCCAGCTTCAACAACATTTGCCTGCAAGGAAAACGTAAACAAGGAAAGAGCATTTATATGCTCATTCATCTGTGATTAAAATGTCAATGAATAGATATTCCAACCATTGGCACTTTATAATATAAGTGACATTCAACAATACTGATCAATAACATATACAGTATATGCAAAAACATTTCTTTGAATCACTGTATAAAATATTCCTCATAAACTCGCTCCAATCGTCGCACAGCAGAGTCTTTGGAAGGGTAAAACCAAGTTTAACATCTCCAGTTCAAAACACTTTCCGTGTCCTCTTAGGCAAGCCTGTCCAGCTGGAGAACATCTGTTAATTTTGTTTAGCGAACGAACGATATTTACCAAACCCAGTTGGAAGAACAGCAACTACATAGTTCCCATGTAATAAAAGCTGAAGAATCTGATTTCGAGTAGGTCGGTAGCAAAAACAAGGAAAAATTTCAAAGACTAAACGCATTGTAAAGAACATTACTACGAGGCCTGCACGCAGGCGACGATCTGAACCTAAACTCGGGCCAGTCACGTGACTGAGCACATTGTTTTTGAGAACGAACACTTTCGATATGTTTGTAAGTTTGTATATTTGTAAGTGTGTTTGTCGAAGAAATATATGGATTATGTAAACAAAGTTTCGGCTATAATTCATTACATGGCGCCCAACGTGGGGCAGCTTTGATTACCTGGTATCAAGCTAAGGCCTAAGCGAAAATTCGAGCGATATTATGGCTGAAACGAAGGATAAACTCGATCGATTGAGGGCGAAACGAGGCGGTTATCGTGGCGTTTGTACGAAGTTAACTAAGGAAACCGAGGAAATAATTCATGCGGATGAAATTGATTACGATAGATGCGAGGTTATTCGCTCTTTACTGGAAGAAAAATCGAAAATATTAACGGATATAGACGAGGAAATATTGGGAATATGCAAAATTGCGAGTATTGAATACGAGATCGAGGAATCAGCAGACGTTATGGGATGAATACTCAGTGCAAAACGTAAACTTGATAAGGTGAAACTCGAAGCGAAGAAAACGGGAAATACGAAGGCCTCAAAGGTGACAATTCAACACGAAAATGGAAATAATATTGCGACGACAAGCAGCGAAAATACGAGCGAAGTTACGATCCACGCGAGCGATGTTACGAATCACGAGAGCGGTAGTGAATCGGGTGGAATTATTAATGCGAGCAATGGTCCACCGGAAGTTGTTAGCATGGGGGAACATGGGGCAACAGAATTGAATCAAAGTTCGGTATCTTCTTTAAAACCCAAGTTGCCAAAACTCACATTGCCCAAATTTAAGGGTCAAGTCACCAAATGGGGTCCTTTTTGGGACTCATATAATTCGGCTATACACAATAACAGTGTAATTTCGAAGATCGACAAATTCAATTAT